ATGGGCCCCATTCAGACTCATGCCCAAGGAATAAAGAAACAGACGACTCTGTGTTACATTCCCACATAACAACAGTGGTGGCAGATGAGGGTGACATAGCTCTGGTCTTTCCTCACTACCCTCCCCTGGTCCCACCACACTGTTAGAGGTACTCATTGTCTCCTTTGCTCACAGGATTTATTCTTCAGCTGTGATTTTGCAGTGTAATATGAAGCCAGTTCTTTCTATCAGAAGCTTGATATTTTGGGACAAATCCAGTTCTGGCTAGAAATGAAATGGTCCAAAAGCTTTTCAGTGTGTATGTCAGTGAATTAACGTAAAGATAGCAAGGGTCTATCACCAGATGATTGGCTTTGAAGGCCATTTTCGCGTTAACTTTAAAAAGTGGCTTCCCTGTGCCTTCCTCTCCCTGCCCTGCTTCGGCAAAGCCCCATTAATTCTGTTGAAGGTTTCATTTTCTGCTGAAAATGCAGGAAATTTAGACAACTCTCTTGGAATCCCCCCAAAACTAATACAAACAAGATACATATGCTTCTCTTAAGAAAAACTAAAAATAAATGATTTGAAACTAACTGTATAAATTCCCTCTTAAAAGGAAAAGGAAGTTTAGATAATGAGAGGCAACTGTGAATGCTGTTAACAAGAACAAGGTAAAATATTCCCACGACTGCCAACTTGTCCATTTGATATTAAATTACTACTTAACACAGAATTTGTTGGGTTTTCATTACCGACATGTACAAACTATCAGAAACATCTGAAAATGGAATCATTTTTCTCAGGGTTCCTGTTTTTGCGTTTGAAATTTTCTGCAATAAACAAGTATGTTCATTTTCTTGAGGAGAAAGTCTTTTTGATTGCTCTTATGGAAGCCGTATGTACTAAAAAGAAATTATCACCGATGAAAAAGACACAATATTCCACACGTATTTTGCTGTTCTGTCAATGAACCATCAGATTTTGTCTCCAACAAAGCTATTTTGACACAGTGCACAGTAATTTTGACATGGTTTATTTTTTAAAAGCATATTTTGTTATCAAACTTTAATTTATCACATAAATGTCAGTCAACTTTTCCATACAGTGTCCCCTAGAGGATCAGTTATATAAATCAATAGAAGTCAAATTTGGGGCTTACATTTAAGACTAAGAAGTGGAATTTCTGAATGCTTTGTACTTATAGTAGTTGTATTAATTTAGTAACTTTGGAAAGGCATTTATCTTTTTGTTCTTTTTTGTAATAATATGTAAATTAAAATCATCTTTTCTCCTTCAAAATGCTTTAATAGTGTATTTGTTTTTATTTTTTAAAAAACAACAACATTTACCTGGTACTTAACATGTTTTCGGCAGTTTTAAGGACTTTACAAATGTTACCTCAGTTAAACTTCATGAAAAAATGTCAAGTAACAACTTTCTTTAAATACTGTTTGAAATTCTAACACCCAAATAGTGATTAGATTAGATGACCTGTAGGTCATTTAGGGGCAGTGAGTTTATGTTAACGGGGAGGAGCAATTAGTAAAAGGAGGGTGAGAATGGTTGCACAACTTGCAGAATGCAATCAATGTCACTGAATTGTACATGTAGAAATTGTTGACTTGTGTATATTCTCAACAACAACAAATAATAATAGATTTTTTTAAAATCCCTTTGAAAGTACTTGTAGGAATAATTATGACATACAGCCATCATCCAATAGGACTCGCAATGCCTACTGGTTATAAAGTATTTAGGTTTTTCAGACTGTTTTTTTTTTCACTTAGCTATCTGCATTTAAGGTTTCTCCATGTCCTTCATAGCTTGATAGCTCATTTCTTTTTATCACTGAATAATACTCCATAGTATGGATATGCCATAGTTTATCCATTCACCTATTGGAGGACATCTTGGTTACTTTCAAGTTTTAACAAATATGAAGAAAGCTACGTTCATTTGCAGGTTTTTATGTGGATACACATTTTCAGTTGCCAGACTATCTTCCAAAGTGGCTGTAACATTTTGCATACCTACCAGCAATGAAAGAGAGTTCCTTTTGCTCCACATCCTCGTTGAACTTGTCAGTGTTTTGTATTGTAGCCATTCTAATAGGTCTGTAATGGTATCTCTCAAAAGCAAAAACCAAACCCACTGCCATCGAGTCACTTCCAGCTCATAGCAACCGCATAGAGTTTCTGAGGCTGTAAATCTTTACGGAAACAGACTGCCACATCTTTCTCACATTAGTGGTATCTCATTGTTTTAATTTGCAATTCCCTTGATAGTGCAAATCATTAAACCACATTCGGCCACTAATCGAAAGGTTGGAAGTTCAAGTCCATTCAGAGGTGCCTCGAAAGAAAGGCCTGGCAGTCTACTTCTGAAAACTCAGCCATTGACAACCCTATGGTGCACAGCTCGCCTCTGACACACATGGTATCGCCATGAGTCAGGGTCTACTTGACAGCAGCTGGTAGTAATGACATGATATTGAGCATCCGTTCATATGCTTTTTTGCCTTCTGTGTGTCTTCTTTGGTGAAGTTTCTGTTCAGATCTTGTAATTGGTTTGTTTTCTCATTGTTGAGTTTTAAGGATTCCTTGTATATTTTTAATACAAGTCCTTTATCAGATCTACAGTTTGCAGATATTTTCTTCCAGTCTGTGGCTTGTCTTTTCATTCTTTTAACAGTGTCATTCATAGAGCAGTTTTTTATTTTGATGGAGTCCAACTTATCAATTTTATGGATTATGCTTTTGATATTATATCCAAAAAGTCATTACTAAACCCAAGATGACCCAGATTTTTTCTTATATCTCCTAGAAATTGTATAGCTTTGCTTCTTACATTTAGGTTTATAATCCATTTTTAGTTAATTTTTGTGAAGTATGTCAGTTACGTCTAGAATCTTTTTTTCATTTTTCTTTTTTTGCATGAAGATGTTTTATTTTCTGTTTGTTTCCTGCTTTTCATTTGTCTGTGTTTTTGTCGTTTTTTTCCCTGCCTTCCTGTGGGTTATTTGAACATTTTTTTAGATATATCTAGAGTGTTTTTAAGTATATCTCTTTGTGTAGATTTTTACTAGTTGTTCAAGGTGTTATATTATACATACATAATTTATCAGTCTACTAGTGTTGACATTTTACTGGTTCAAGTGAGGCATAGAAACCTTACCTTCCTTTAAATCCCTTAACCCTCCCTTATTGATAATTATCTTAGATATTTTGTTTACATATTGAGAACCTCATTAGAAATGTTATAATGTTTGCTTTAACTGTCACACTTAATTTAGAAAACTCAAGAGGAGAAAGAAGGTCTTTTGTTTTACCCATACCTTTGCTTTTCGCTTGTTGTTTTTTCTAAGAGATTCATTGATTGCCTGCTTTGAGTTTGGTGTCTTAATAATTATTTTATGTTCACCTTTTCAGAGACTGTTAACTCTTGAGGAAAGAGAGACAAAACCACAGGCTACTTATCTATAGATATAGTGATTGAAATGATGGTTTAAGGAAATAAAGCAATATTCTGAATTAGGCACTTTTCTTGGGGTCAGTAGGACCCTACTTACATTGAGGAAGTCTAATGTGATACAGTGATGAGGATACAAATAAGGACCTCATAAATGAGAGGCAAGGAAGCACCAACATTCCCTTTAGTTGGTGAGTCTATAATTTATTATTTGAAATTCCTAATTATCACCATACTAAGTTCAAAAGATTCTAACTCATCCTTTAGTAACTGATACACCTCATTCTAAAGATTCTTGAAAAAAATTAATTATGTGGAGATTGAGCTCTTCTGCATGATCTTTCCAATGCTGTTATAATTTTAAAGAATTACTCTAGTTCTGATAATTCTTTTCCAAGGAGAAAAACACTGACTTCTTTGTGGGGATTTGCTTTCTTTGTAAGGCGCAAGACCTAAATGTCATTGAAGAAGTGATTCGAATGATGTTAGAGATCATCAATTCCTGCCTGACCAATTCTCTGCACCACAACCCAAACTTGGTGTATGCACTGCTTTACAAACGAGATCTCTTTGAACAATTTCGAACTCACCCTTCATTTCAGGATATAATGCAAAATATTGACCTGGTAAGTATAAATAGAGATAATTATTATGATTCTTGTTTAAGTATTACAGCAAAGAAAGTTTAATTTAACAAACTTCGATAAGAACTACAGTGATAAGAGTCCCTTCTTTTAACATTAACTATTTGCAGTCTATTCTGCTGTAACAATTACTGCATTCTGTGTGTGTGTTGTATACAAGGACACTTAATTGAGAGATCATACTTTATAGAGTTCTGTATTCTGTCATTTTTACTTAATATTATTTGATCATCCATATTTTTCTGTGGTATCATCAGCTTTTTGAAAATCTTATATTTTAATATCTGTATAACTTGTGGATGTCCTAAAATACATTTGGCCATTATCCTGTTGTTGCTCATTTTTTATTTTTTCCAGTATTTTGTATTAATTCATAATTAATGAACAGTTTATAAACACATCTTGCCTCACGTTTCTTGATTTTTGGGGGGAATTTTACTGTGTCAGGTTATCTATATTTTCTAGACTCAACACATATTGCCAAATTGCTTTCCAGAAACACTGTACAGTTTGTGCATCTGTACATCATCTTATCCCTCCACAAGTGATCTGCAAGAGGATCTGTGTCACTACAACTCTTAGAACTTTGAGTATTATAATTATTTTAATATTTGTCTCTTTATAGCAAAAACAGTATTTCATTATTTTTACTTCAATACTTTGTTAACTAGCGTGGTTGAACATTTTTCACAGATCTATGAACTTGCACTTCATGTCCTTTTTAAAAATTTTTTTGCTAAGTTTTCTATTGCTGTATTTATTAGCATTTTTCAGTCAAGTTTGATTTCATAAATATTTATTGAATGATATAATCGACAGTGCTAGACACAAGAGTAAACTGAAAAGCCACTGTCCCTTTCCATGTGTTACTTATATATTTAGGAAGATGTTCAGTAATTAAATTATCACACAAATACAGTGACACCTCAGCAGGACTGCCTTGTTTTTCTGGGTCTCACAGGTTTTCCACCTTTGACAGGGTGCAGTCTTACCACTTCTCTGTTACTCATTTTAGTGGAAAATATTTGAGTTTTCCTTCTCTGACAGGTTTCTACCTTAGGTTCAAGCTCTCACAGGTTTTACTGTATAAATATATAATTTCAATCATAAATAAGCTCATTAGGGCAAGATTTTTGTTTGTTGCTCTGCAAAAACAGTATTATCTGCTGAGAGTGAGGTGGAATGTGTAGGAGAATGGAGAAGATCAGAAGTAGTCATTGTACAAGGGAAACATAGCAGGACTGTTGGGCAGTGGTCCATGTCTTACTTCTGTCACTTAACACTGTTGGTAAGATTAATCCATGTAGTACAATACGGCCATATTTATTGAGTTTTATGGTAAATACTAATTAGACCAGTATATGGATATGTCGCGTCTTAGTTATTGTAAAAATGGCTTGGGAGCAGTGTCTCACCTCCTCCAACCCCACAAGGGGGAAGGAGAACTAAGATCAACAGCACAAGGCTAACTCCCATGAGGTGGAGGTCAGACAAGGCTCTTCTCTCCAGCTGTTTTTACTAATTCTGTCATCAACTGTCCCTCATACAGCGCTCTCTACTGGGTTTGAGAATTCATTGCAGTGGCCACACAGAACTCACAGACCATACTCACAATTATGGGGTTTATTAGGGAAGTCACAGTTATAGTTCAGGCTCAGGAACACTCAAGATACGATTCTTCAATCAGGATAGCCTCTTCCCAGCCGTGGTATGAGGCATACCTCTCCCTGGCCCTCACTCTCTGCCCAGAGGCACTCAGCTTTCTCTCTACATGAACTGGGAAACCCACCATGCCATCTCTCCTTCCTTGGTGGTGGTGAGCTCCTTCTCTTGGCTGTGGAATTGGCTCTCTTTTAAGGCAAAACTGACCAATCCCCTTGGTAGGCCACAATTACCCTATTACACAATCACTTGGGTGGGAATTACAAGACCATGGCTAGAAAGGCCACACACAGAAGTAATTAATCCCACCGCAGTTATCCTTTCTACTATGGATGAATATTTGGAATTGTTTGGCATTTTGGACTATTATGTGCAATAATGCTATGTACATTCCTGTACATGTAATCTCATGAGCAGGTACACGCTTTCCTCCAGGGTATACACCCAAGAGTGGAATTACTTGGTAACGTGTATCATACCAAACTGTTTTCCACAGGGAGGTACCGTTTTATACCCTGACCAGCAGATATAAGAACTGCTAATGCTTCACATCCTCGTAACCACTTAGTTTTGT